TTCCATTTGATTACATTTTGTATGATGGATTATGTAGAAAAAGTAGAATTGGGCTGAAAGATCTATCACTTTATCACCTATTCAGGTTGTAAATTGTGTTTTTAAAAAGTAACTAAGTAATTAATTACTTTTGAAAAGAAGTAATCAGTAAAGTAACGGGATTACTTTTTCGGGGAGGTAATTAGTAATTAGTTACTGATTACTTTTTTCAAGTAACTTGACCAACACTGCTCACCACACACTCATGTGCACTTCTCCAAATCTTGTCCTCTACAAACCAGTGAAAAAGGCCATGCTGCTAATCACAAGCTGGATTCGTATTATTCATGATGCTTTTAGGACTTGCAGTACAGTATTTTAATTCATAATCTTTTTTTAGTTTTGTTAAAGTTGTTACTGTCATGGATTTTAGAAATCTGAAAAGCAAAATTGGTAAAAACCTGAATGATGTTGTAAATGCACTGTGACTGTTTCAGAAACTCTTACTCATCCAGAATCCTGAGCCTTACCTGACGCAGATAGCAGGCAGTAATTCTGCTGTAGTGATGAGAAATGCTACACTTTCATGGACCAAACGCAGCCAGTCAGAGTCACCGCCCAGAGCAGCTAATGAGGTCACGGAACACAATATGGACGTGACTTCTCCGAATGAAAATGTTGAGACCTTACCAACCCTCAGAAACATCTCTTTTACACTACCCAAGGTGTGATCAAATAATAACTGAAGTTATCAAGACTCTGCTGGATGTGAAATGATAATCTTTGTGATATTTCCTGAAGGGAAAACTGCTTGGTGTTTGTGGGAATGTGGGAAGCGGAAAGACGTCACTGATTTGCAGCATTTTGGAACAGGTTTGTTTCTTTTGTATGTTCTATTGTTTTTGTATCTGTCTGCATTTATTCACATTATGTTTTTACTATTTCTAACTTTAAATTCGTGACATTAGTCTTTTGGCCTGCTCACTTTCCTTTTAGATGCACCTTCTTCAGGGCTCCGTCACAGCTGATGGGACATTTGCGTACGTTTGCCAGCAGGCCTGGATTTTTCATGGAACTGTTCGAGAAAATATTCTTATGGGGGAACCTTTTGATCAGGCCAGGTAAGTTAAATCCGTCTTCTTGCATTTATGGCTGCCATCTCCTGCTTGTCAACCACCACTTTGTCTGGATAGTTAATCGTGGCCCTTTCCAACTGCATATCCCCAATCTGCCCTGGGAGGCACAAAAAATCAAGTTGGATACCTTCCATGGAACTTCTAACGGTTTTTATTTTGACATTCTGAAATGTTGGTGGAAGGTTCATAGTCAACCAAAATGAGGTCCTCTTGCTTTTCTGACAGTATCACCTCTACTGCCAGAGATGGTAAACACTAGGAACCAGTGTTTGCTCTAAACTTCATCAGTTCATAAATTAATAGTAGTCCTTAAAATATGTCAAAATTGTATAACTGAATTGATACATTTAATGCAACATTTTGCATGAAATCATTTTTCTTGACATGTTAAATGATTTTGGTCATGTTTTACTGTCAGCTAATTGGTAAATTGGACTGGAACTTCTGTAACACCTTTCTATTCAGGTGAGCACTCAAAGCATTTTGTTTTTGCACACATCCAATCACATACACATTTATACATTGTTTAACATTCTTCATTTATAACATTCTTAGACACTCACTCACCCTTTGATGGAGGCATCAAGGGCAACTAGGGGTTCAGTATTAGGGGTGGGTTTTTATAATCGATTTATCGATTAAAATCGATTCTGGCTTAGATAACGTAAAATCGATTTATTAAAATCCTGAATCGATTTTTTTAATATAAATTTATTTTGCCCGAAATACCAGAATCTCTGGTGAAATCTCACAAAATTTCAACAACCACCAAACAGCTAAGACAGTAAATGAGAGCAGGAACACGGATTCTGCACAAAGACTTAAACACACAGCGGATCAGAATCAGTTAGATGTCGCCTTTCTCACAGTCGGGGCTGAAAGCCGACAGCTCGCTGATTCTGATCTGTCGGCGGGTCCGCGCTTTGTGTTCACGCCCTTTTTGCGCTGATTCTAAAGCTGTTAGTTTGATCTCTCTCCAAACAATATCTCCAAACTACGCTTCACATAAACATCGTCATGAATTCCCTCTGACTTTTACTGTTTTGCTTCCACCACGATGCACAGCTCTCTCTCTCTTTCTGTACTTCAAGAACAGTTTCCCGTCTAAAGATCTTTTTTCTTCAATATTCGCTTGCTTGTTACGCAAGTCTACCGTTGTTTACAGCGCTGTTGGCCGCTGGTTTTTTTTTTTCCCCCTTTTACATTCTTCCGAAAAGAAAACCTAATTTCTGCCGTTCAACAGGCTTCTGAACCAATTTAAACTGTTTAAAATTATGGAAAATGCAAAACGCTTAGCCGTGTCTCTAATAAAACCGCTGTAACGTCAGAGGTAACGTTCATATGTTCATTAATGGTTTTCTTTCGTTTTTGATGTACTGCAGAATATTTTTTATAAAATCCCAGGCTAGTAAAATCACCTTCATGTTTTGTCTGTGTTTTATCTTCAGCTACTTTGACACAAAGGCATCTGCTGTGACGCTCACACCTTTGATAAAGCCTTGCGTGTGTCAGCTTCCTTTTTATAGATACAAAAATATGTAAATGCACTGATCTGAATTATAATATTTCTGACTGTCAAAATTTCCCAGAATCAAATCGAATTGAATCGAATCGAATTAAATCGAATCGATTCAGGACCTTGTGAATCGGAATTGAATCGATTCTAGAAATCAGTGACAATACCCAGCCCTATTCAGTATGTCGAGGAACTGGGGATAAATTCAGTGACCTCTTGTTCTGCTAACTGAGCCGCAGTCAACCACAAGTTATAATTGGCTGAATAAATGACTAGCTCACATCCTATTAAAATATACTTCTCTATAGTATTAACCAGTTTGTTGCCTTGTACTGCTCCCCAACAGATATGACAGAGTTGTAGATGTCTGTAGCCTCAGAGCTGACCTAAGCATCCTGCAATATGGTGACCAAACTGAGGTGAGTCACACACCGACACAGGGGTTTTTAAGTGTATTTACTTACCCCACTCACTTAAGATATAACTCAAGCTTGCAAATTGATGCTACAATAAAGTGGAAGGATCAAATTGTAATTTAGTATTAATCAAAAGTTCACAATATTATAAATATCCTTTTTGTGGGCAGATTGGAGAGCGGGGTCTAAATCTATCAGGGGGACAGAAGCAGAGAATCAGCCTGGCAAGAGCAGTGTATTCCAACAGGGACATTTTCCTCCTTGATGACCCACTATCTGCTGTTGATGCTTATGTGGGGAAACACATTTTTGAAGAATGTATAAAGAAAGAGCTGAGAGGAAAATCCGTCATACTGGTTACACATCAGCTCCAGGTAGGAAAACGTATTAAATTATTATGTAGTGGAGACTGAGCTGTCTGGGCTCAAAAGCACCTTTTCCATTAGTACCTACTCTGATTGACTTGCCTTAGATCGACTGGTTTTCCATTGTAATCTGGTACTACAAAGCGTCTAAGTGTCCGGCGACGTAATTAATATGCAACATGAATGCTACAAAAAAGATGGATGTGGAGGCAAGAAATATACCTGCTGCTGCCAGCCAATCGGTCCCATGCAGTGTTGCAACGTCACATTTTAGTACCTGCTCGGATTAACCCCAGGCAAGCAGGTACTGTGGCCTAACTGAAAACCGTGCAAGTCGATCAGAGTAGGTACTAATGGGAAAACAGGCTATCGTTTAAAGCGGTGGTTCCCAAACTTTTTTTTTTTACTGGGCCCCCCTGTTGCTCCCCTCGCACAAACACATCCTCCAACCACACACACCCATATTTTGTTTCCAAACTCCATTGCACTTTATTTCACACCTCAAACATTTGGTAAACAATTAAGCAAATACAAGTAATCTGCAATAAATTACAGGTAGCAATGAAATGAACTACTAACTCTTGTACGCTACGTCCACACCTACATGAGTATTTTTGAAAACACAGCTGTTTCTGGGCGTTTGGGCCTTTTGTCAACACA